CGGCCCCGCCCCACCTGCCGAAGCCGCTCGTCGCTTTCCGGAGGCGCTCGGGGCCTCCCCGGACTCACCTGGGGCAGGTACGCGGGGAGGGGCCAAGCAGAAGGGGCGACCGGGGATTCCCGCGGCCGCGAGCCGCGCAGCCGCACCCCACTCTGGCCCGGGTTCGTGAACTGCTCCAAAGCGAGGGTTTGGGAGTCGTGAGAGCTAGGTTTGAGTCTCGGCGAAGCCACCGTGTGACCTCAGGGCACTGTCACCCCCAGGGCAGAAACCAAGAGGTGGTCACCACTGACTGCCGGGGGCTGGGCGCAGAGCTTCTGCTGAATACGTTGAATGATGGATGATTGGATAAAGAAACTCGGGCACCACACCGTGCCTCTCTGAGCCTCAGTTTCCCTGTCTGAAATTGAGGATACATACCTCATAGAGCTACTACCACACTTAGTAGATGCTTGACAAGTGTGAGTCGCTTATCACTGTTTCTTCTTTCCTTTTTTTTTTTTTTTTGTGTAAGAGATGGATTCTTGCTTTGTTGCCCAGGCTAGAGAGCAGTGGTGCAATCATAGCTCACTGCAGCCTCAAACTCCTGAGGTCAAGTGATCCTCCTGCCTCAGCCTCCCGAGTAGCTGGCACTACAGGAGCACACCACTGCCCAGCTACTATTTCTTCCGAGACCCCAGCCTCACACTTTTCACATCCATCCTCCTCCCTCTCCACCTGTTCTCCAAAACCCATGGACACCTAGCAGCCTATCTCAGGCTACCCACTCCCCACGGCCACCCCTGCTCAGTAGCCCATTGTTCCCTCGAGATGCCCAAAGCCTGTGAGAGACCCAAGAGATTCAAAAGAAAACTATACTTGCTGTAAAAGAAGCGTTCATTGCATTTTATATATATTCCTAACTCACGTTCACTATATTTTATAAATTCTTAGCATTTTAAATCCTACCTCAGACCCCGTAGAACTGGGCACATGTCGGGTGCCGGGTAGTAACTGATTGTATAGTTATACAATGTTTTAAGCAGTGTTTGTACTTAGAACTTTGTTAAGTTTTTGTTTGTCCCGATTGCCATGCTGGCTTCTTTTACTTCTGCAACTGCTGCTAGCAGTGTGTGAATGTTAAGCAATAAGCCCCTCCCGGACATTCCTTTGCTTAGATTGCAGTAGACTCTGAGGCCCTGGCCACTCTCCTGGTGGGCTCTATGTTGGTTCAAACCTCCGGGTCCCATGCCAAAGTTAATTTACACGCAGTGACTATGTAAACCTAGCTTATCTGACATTCCACTCTGCCCATTTAGCCGTTTCCCGTCAATCACAGGCAACTAAGCTAGAGCCCGTGCAAACCAGAAAATAAACCTACCAATCCCAAGTGCCCTCGTACCGATTAGGAGAAATTACTCAATCATGTAAAAACAAGTTTCCCCTTCCTCTGTAATTGTGCATAAAAACTGCTTGCCATACTGGATCGGGGCTCTCATCCCTGAAGTCGCTGTGTCGGCTTCAAACGTGAGCCCAGACTCGAGCCTGAATAAAGACCCTCATGTGTTTGCATCGGAGCTGGCTCTCTGTGGTCTCTCGGATTTAAAATCTTGGGTTTAATATCTGGTCCCCAGCTAAGGGGGTCAGAAGGAGGGGGTCACATTCCCAGCTGATTGCTCCCCATGGGTGGCGTGAGATACCTGGAAACAGGGCTCTGTAATTACTCTCCATTCACCTGAGCCCCATCCACAGCCATCTATAGATGGGATAATGTTAGGGAAAGAAGTCTCTGTGCCTTGAAGCTGACCCCGAGGCCACAGAGCAGGCCTGACTGCATCCCTGGGTGAGTCACAGAGCATCAGGCTTAGCCATTAATTGTCCCAGAACTGTTTCACAAATATACCCTACACTTTCCCTCCTTCACACTTTTGCCTATACAATGCCCTCCTCTTGACAGTCCTTCTCCTTATCTCTCTTCCTTCCCTTCAAAGGCTTGCTCACAATCCATATCTCCCTGGTGAACAGGACCACCACCATCACCTGGGACCTGGCTCTATTAGGAGCAAGCATCTTGCTTATCCCTTGTGTTTCCAAATAGCACAGACCTCCTTTGGCCTCACAAATAGCCTGAGTTTGTGCCAGACTCTTTCCCCACACTGGAGCCCCACAACAGCCCTAAGAGGCAGATTAATCCCCCACCCCAATTTACAGATGAGGCAACAGGCTCAAAGATGCAGTGATGTGCTGCACATAAACTGAGCACTGAATAAACGCTGGCTATGACTATTGCGGTTGCTGTCACTGTTGCTCAATGCCACACAACTCAGAAGCAGTGGCACCGGAAGGCCACCTCGTGTGGCCTTGACCCTGATGTCCTACTGCCTCTCTCAGAAAGCAGAGGTGACGATATCCAGTTCCCCTCTGTTTCTGTCCAGTAATATTTCAGTCCTCCCCTAGGGCAAGGCCCTTAGGAGACTCCCAGCCACCCAAGGGCTGTGTGCTCTCTGGCTGCCCCCTGCCTGCCCAGGGCACAGCACAGGACCCGGCACACAGTAGGGCCACGAGTGCTTGTGGATGACAGTCTGCACTTCCACTACAAGCCTACTCTCCTCATCCTGCTGGGACTGACAGTCTGGTCCCAAAACAGCCCCTGCACTGTCACCTTCTACACAGTGATGCTCCATGCTGAAATGCTACCAGGCAGTCTGAATTGAGCATTCCTCATATGCTCTGGTGCCAGGGTCAGCTCCCTTTGACACTTCTGCCCTGAGGGCCGAATTTTCCATCCCACAACCCCTCCCTCTCCATGGCCTGCCACAGCAGAAAATATCCAGGATCAAGAGGGGCAAAATCTGAAAGTCTTATTCTGCCACAGATGCCCATACATCTTTTGCCACCCTTGGGGGCCACTTCACCTCCCTGTACGTCCATCCCCTCCCCTGAAATAGGGACAGTTATTCCATTTAACCTCACAGAGGAATTGTGAGCCTCTGAGAAGTTATCTTGGAAATAAGCAGCTATCCGAAAGGAGTGAGGTATGAAAATGACTGTGTGTGTAAAGGGAAAGCCGCTCTGGTTTTTGATGGAAATTTTTCAGATTGCACAGGACTGAGGCCATCTGGGCTCTCACACCCCCTGTCACCCTACACAGAGGGGATAACTCACCCTGTGGCTTGGTCCCAGCAACTCATTCTCTCTCAGCCTCATGCTTCTCATCTGCAAAAGGGAGAGAATTGTTTTTGCCCTGGCTATCTCAGGGGACTGTTGAGGAGGTGAAATGAGGAAGAAGATAAAGTCTTCATTTCTTGATATCCAGACCAGCCTATCAGACTTTATGACTAGCCTCAAAGTTCCTGCATGAAATCAAAATACTCTGTCTTTCACACCTCCAAAAGCAAGATCACAGTCAACAGCTATGTCACCTTCACAAGTCACCCAAACTCTCTGAGCCTCACTGGAGGCTGGGATTCAGGATTCAACTCTTCCACCCAATGCCATGTAAACCATGACCACTGAAAAATCATGCAGGGGGCCAGGTGGTGGCTCATGCCTGTAATCCCAGCACTTTAGGAGGCCAACGTGAGAGGACTGCCTGAGCCCACGGGTTTGAGACCAGCCTAGGCAACTTGGTGAGACCTCATCTCCACAAAAAAATCAAAAAACAAGCCAGGCATGGTGGCACCTGTGATTCCAGCTGCTTGGAAGGCTGAGGCGGAAGGATCCCCTGAGCCCAGCAGGTCAAGGCTGCAGTGGCTGCGAGCATGTCACTGCACTCCAGCCTGGGTGATAGACTGAGACTCCAACTCAAAAAAACAAAAAGAAAAGAAAAAGAAGAAAATGCAGGGGCCAGGTGGTGGCTCATGCCTGTAATCTCAGCACTCTGGGAGGCCGAGGTGAGAGGATTGCCTAGACCCAGGTCTGAAACCAGCCTGAGCAACTTGATGAGACCTCATCTCTACAATAAATAAAAAAGATTAGCCAGGCATGATGGCTCGCATCTGTAGTCATCATTACTGGGGAAGCAGAGGTGGAAGGATCACCTGAGCTTAGTAAGTTGAGGCTGCAGTAGCAATGACCATGCCACTACACTCCAGACTGGGTGACAGGTGAAACGCTGACTCAAAAAAAGAAAGAAGCCGGGCTCGGTGGCTCAGCCTGTAATCCTAGCACTTTGGGAGGCTGAGGTGAGTGGATTGACTGAGCCCGTGGGTTTGAGACCCACCTGGGCAACTTGGCAAGACCTCATCTGTACAATAAATCAAAAAATTAGCTGGGCGTGGTAATGCGTGCCTGTAGTTCCAGCTACTTGGAAGGCTGAGGCAGAAGGATTGCAGGAGTCCAGCAGGTCGAGGTTGCAATGGCCGGGAGCATGCCACTGCACTCCAGTCTGGGTGACAGAGTGAGACTCCAACTCAAAAAAGAGAGAGAGAAAGAAAGAGAGAGAAAGGAAGGAAGGAAGGAAGGAAGGAGGAGGAGGAGGAGGAGGAGAGGAAGGAAGGAAGGAAGGAAGGAAGGAAGGAAGGAAGGAAGGAAGGAAGGAAGGAAGGAAGGAAAAGAAAAACATGAAAACATGCAAACATGCAGGGATCATTTGGGCCATCCCCAGTGTCCATTACCTAACTCAGACAGATGCTCAACTCTCTAGTTCTCAGAGGAAGCAGGCTCTGGCTTCTCAGACCATTCACCCCAAGGGTTCTGTAATCTGATCTCATTGGGCCTCAGTTTTCAAATCCGCAATATAGGAATGAACCCCTGTCCAAACCCCCAATACTTCCCAATCCTCCCCCAATCTTGGCCCATCCCCACTCACCATCCTCCCATCCATGAGAACTCAGATGTGCTCTGGGTTTCCTGTCCCCTGGGCCTTGCTGTTTGCACTGGGCTTACTTCCTGCTTCTGACCCATTTACAGAGCAGGGCTGAGGCCATCCCTTATGAATATGCATGTAGGATAATGAGAGCTTAGGAGTGGTGGAGCATCTGGGGAGAGTTGTTCATGTAGGCACCATCCACTCTGTTCTCCCTGTAAACACTGCCCTTCCTCCTAAAGGGTGCATCGGACTTTGGGGTAAAGTACACCATTTTTAAGAGTTTACAACACACTAGGCACCCCACTAAGAGCATCTCCTGTGAGATGCATTTAAGGTAGGAACTATTTTCCCTATATAGCAGTTAAGGAAATTTTTAAATTTATTTTTTATAGAGACATTGTCTCACTATGTTGACCTGTCTAGTCTTGAACTCCTGGCCTCAAGTGATCCTCCCACTTCGGCCTCCCAAAGTGCTGGGATTATAGGCATGAGCCACCATGCTCAGCCTCAGATATGGAAATCCATGCTCCAAAAACTTAGGTACCTTGTACAAAAAGCACATGGGGAACATGCACAGTGGTTATGTGCAGAGCCAGGATGAAATCCAGGTTTCCTGGGAGGATGGAATCCCAGAGTTGGTACTCTAAACCTTGGTGGTCAGAGTTTTGGGCCAAGCCAGGAGTCCCGTGCACATGGACCTGGGGCCACATCTGAACCTTGTATACCAGCGCTCTTCCGTGACCAAGGCCATGTGAAAGGACCTGGGTCCTGGAATTGACTCCATCTGGAAAGCATAGAGACAGACAGACAGTGTACTTTCACATGTGTGCAGGCACACAGCGAGGCATGTTGAACATGTACACACACATGTCATGTGTGCACAGGTTTAAGTATGTGGCAGGGGGCCCCTGTGGCTGCCCAGTGTATGTACCTCTGTGCCATTTTTGTGAATTTTTTTGGTTGCTTTTTTTTTTTGAGGTGGAATCTCACTCTGTCATCCAGGCTGAAGTGCAGTGGCACACTCACGGCCACCCCAGCGTCGACCCGCTGGGCTCCTATGATCCTTCCTCTTTGCCTTCTAAGTAGCCAGAACTATAGGCATGCGCTACCACACCTGACTAATTTTTTATTTATTGTAGAAACGAGATCTCGCCCAGTTGCCCGGGCTGGTCTTGAACTGCGGGTTCAGGCAATCCACTCACCTCAACCTCCTAAAGTGGTGGGATGACAGGCTGAGCCACCGAGTCCAGCCTCATTTGTTTTGAGTTGGAGTCTCACTCTGATCCCCAGGCTAGAGTGCGGTGGCAGGATCACAGTTCACCACAGTCTTGAATTGCTGAGCTCCGGCGATCCTTCCACCTCAGTCACCTAAGTAGCTGGGGCTACAGCTGCAGACGCCATGCCTGGCTAATATTTTGGCTTTTTGTAGAAACAAGGTATTGATCTATCTCGTCTAGGCTGATCTCGAACGCCTGAGCTCAGTCAGTCCTCTCGACTCAGCCTCCCATAGTGCTGGGATTACAGGTGTGGGCCACCTGCCTGACCTCCTGCAACTTTTTTTCCGTCATCGCTTAGCGATGGCCCGCAGTGGGCCAGGACCTGGTAATGCGGCGTGAACAAGGCAGACACAGTCCCTGCCCACATGGAGCAGGTGGCCGGGTATACTTGGCTTCCCACATACAGTAAGATTCTGGAAGAAATTCCTTTCCTTTGCAGGAAGTGACTAGTGGTTGAGAGAGAAGACTAGAGAGCAGAAGAGGTGGGACATTTGGAGTGAGGAGTTTCTGGGGACCCCCTGGCACTTGCCAGAAATGTGGGGGAGACAGCCTGGACCTGGCACTGGCTTCACGAGAGTCACAGGTCTGAAGATTTCAAAGGTCTCCAGATGTTTCCTTTACAGGCATCAAGGATTGGACATGAATGCCCACGTGGACAGTGGCAGGGGCAGGTGTGTGCGCATCGGTGATTGTGTGGTGTTCTCTATGTGGATACGTGTAGGTGCATAGAATGTACATGTGTGAATTTGGGAACATGCGTAAATCATATGTGGTGTGTGCACATGTGGGGTATACAGGTAAGGGGTGGGTTTCCATGCGTGTGTAGCAGGGCCTGTTATCATAGAGGAAAGGGAGGAGAGAAAATAGCATGGTTTGGCCCAGGCAAGCCTCACATTCATAAGCCTCAAATATGTGTCCAGGGTGGGATTGGCAGTAGTGGGAAACTGCCAGGGGAAGGGGGGCACACCTCATCAACAAGGGTACCTGCATAATGAACATTTGTATACCTAACCCTGAATTGTACCCCACAAAAAGAGAGAAAAAAAAAGAAATAATCTACCTTCATTTTCTCATTAAATAATGTTAATTTTTTTTTTGAGTTGGAGTCTCACTCTGTTGCCCAGACTAGAGTGCAGTGGCACACTCACGGCCACCACAGCCTCTACCTGCTGCACTCCAGCGATCCTTCCACCTCAGCCTTCCAAGTAGCTGGAACTACAGGTGTGTGCTACCATGCCCGGCTAATTTTTGATTTATTGTAGAGATGAGGTCTCATCAAGTTGCCCAGATGGGTCTCGAACCCACAGACTCAGGCAATCTACTTACCTTGGCCTCCCAAAGTGCTAGGATTACAGGCTGAGCCACCAAGCCCGGCAAATAATGTTAATTTTTTTAAAAATGTATCCGGCTGGGCTCAGTGGCTCAGCCTGTAATCCCACACTTTGGGAGGCCGAGGTGAGTGGACTGCCTGACCCTGCAGGTTCAAGACCCGCCCGGGTAACTTGGTGAGACCTCATCTCTACAATAAATCAAAAACTAGTCGGGCGTGGTAGCGTGCACCTGTAGTTCCAGCTACTTGGAAGGCTGGGGCGGAAGGATCGCCGGAGCCCAGCAGGTTGAGGCTACGGTGGCCGGGAGCGCACACTGCACTCCAGTCTGGGTGACAGAGTGAGACTCCAACTCAAAAAAAAAAAAAAATGCATCCAAAAGATGAGATGGATAAGGAAGAGGGGGTTGGGGGCTGGCTGGATGGAGAGATGAAAAGAGGGGTGGGTGTGTGATAAAGCAGATACCACAACATGGTCATTGCAAACGCCAGGGGTGAGCACATGGGTGTCCACAGGACCATTCTCTCAGCCTTTCTGGATGCTTGAAACATTTCATAATGCAATGTGCTCTCCAAGCGGGCTGGCTATCTAGCCCCAGAGGATCACAGACAAGATAGAACAGAATGTGCCTCATACTATAGTAAACTCACGTCCTGTTGCTGGACCACACCGCACTGTGAGCTTGTAGTTTTTATAATTCCAGTAATTATCTTGTGAGTCTCTCAATTGTATTTCATTGGATGTGTGTGTGAGTGTTAAAAGTCTTAATCTGTTCAATAAAAACATGGAAAACATACCACAATTGTGACCATCCTATTTTGGCCTTTCTTCACTTTTCACTTACCCGGAGCCTAAAAACAGAAGTAGTCAGGGCCTCTCTTGGCCTGTGAGGGCCCCCACTGTGCAGGTATGAGTGTTGCTTTGCACGTATGTGCACATGTCAGGGATGTGAGCACACATGTGGGTCAAGCTGATGCCCGTCTGAGTGCCCACAGAGAGCTCAGCCTCCTCCAAGCCCCCATGAGGCCAGCACCGCTCCGGGGCAAGGAGGATGTCCTGAGGCTGAGGAAGGGCAGCCTCTAGCCCCAGGCCAGACTTGGGACAAGGAAGTCTGTCATCTGAGGGCTTGGACACGCTCAGGCCAAGCGGCGTCCCTGGCTGGCAGTGGGAGTGTGGGAGGCTGAAACTCCGGTGCTTCCTGGAGGAAGATGAGGCAAAGGCAGGGTGTCCGGAGCCCTCCTAGGGCCCAGCGGCTCCTCCCCTCCTTACCATATATTCATGACCTCCTGTCTGGCCATTCATCTCCCTTGCTCAGTGCCTGTAGGCCCGAGATGGCAGCATCCCCCAATTGTGCACATGGGCAAACTGAGACCTGGAGAGAATGGAGCTGCTCAGGTCACACGGCAAGTTGGCACAGAGCCAGACTGAGATTCAGCCCGGGTTTGATTCTCTGCCCCTACTGCCTGCCGTCCCTACATCCCCCTTCTTCGATCATTCGCCCACTGGCCAAGGCCTGTGGAGGTCCTGCAGAAGGGAGTCCAGGGCCAGCCGACCCAACCAGGAAGACCCCGGAGTGCCGTCCTGCCTGGGCAGGTCGCATAAAAAATCGAGGAGGCCAGAGCACAGCAGAAGCAGCACATGGGTGAGAGGCAGGGCCTTGACTCTCATCCTAACTCAAGTACAAACCCTGTCGGAGTGACCCCGAGCAGCTCCCTGACCCTCTCTGGGTCTCAGTTTCCCCCTCTGCAAAATAAATGGGCTGAACTACAGCGGTGGCTTTCACATAATGTTCTGAAGCAGAACCCCTAAACAACTACAAGACAGACTGCCCTGGTCCACGTAGGGAAGGCAGGTAGTCCTTGGCCTCAATCACTCATCCTCCACTAAGAAGCTTGCCAAAGAAGGTCCCACTGAATTGCAGACCTAGTGGGTTCGAGACCAGCCTTCAGCACAGAACCGACACCCAGTTCAGGCTGGGCCACTTACCAGCTACATGGATGCAGACAAGGCTCCCTAAGCCTCAGTTTGCTCCTCCATAAAAAGGGAGCATCAATACCAACCTCCCAGGCTATGTGACAATTAAGTGAGATAATTCATGCCTGTGTTGGGTACATGGTGAACATATTAAAACTTCAAGCAAGAGTGGTTGTTACCACTTTTCCCCTCGAATGAGAACCACAGGTGAACTCAGGACTTTACCATGAATTGTATCTGCTGTTCCAGACCCCAAAGCAGCTGCATTTTGGCAGCTGCAACCCCAAATCCCTCACCCCCACCGACCTCTGCAGCTGCTCCAGAACAGCTGGACATGCAGGGGCTGCTAAAAGGCCAGACCTAGGCCCCAGGGAGGGGAAGCACAGGGCTCCCTGTAATCAGGCCAGGCCTCCAAGCAAGGCCCATTTCATCTGGACAACCAAGTCCCACAGGCCATCATTAACTTCCCCATCCCTGCGCATCATGGGGCCTGACCCAGCTACAGAAGCCCCAGAGAGAAGGCAGCAGGCGTTTAGCCAAAACCTTTCATTCCTGGGAACCCTCCCAAGACTCTCGCCAGGGCCTCTGGGTTCTGGGAAGGTGCCTGGTGATGGCAGTAGGAAGGAAAGTCTTTCTGAAGCCAGGGCTCCCACTCACCCCACCAGGCTGCAGTCAGCACCAAGG